AAACTTGAGTCACTCGAGCCAAACATTTTGCCAGAAAAGGTAGATGAGTCTCTATTGGAGAACTCCTTTTCTGCAGCCTCAGTTCCACAATGCAGTGGTTTTGATGATGTCAGAATTTGCTGAAGCAGCCACTCAAACGAGCTTACCTAGGTTAAATAATTCTGAAGTTAATCATAAAACACCTCTTAATGCAGTTTAACAATCAGAAGAGTTGCATGTAAACAAAGTACTCATAAAATACATCTGTAAAATTCGGGATTTTTTTTTCACAGTAGAAATTATGACACTATCATCCTAGCCCAGATTCCCTAACATGGCAACTGTGCTCCTTTTCCCAGTGCTTCCACAGAGTGTGAGGACCTTTATCCAGTAAACAGCATGACTATTCCCCCTAGTTCCTGCTACAACATAGCAATGTTGCTAAATCACGACATGCAACACCATTAAAAAATTCTTCACTTTCTGGAATACAAACATGAACAACAACAGCAGCCACCTCACTCCACAACCCTGCCATAAAGACGTGGCACAGAGAAAAATAACTGATCTTGATCCTTCCTGGAGGATCAGCACAGCAATGAGCCTATGCTGCAGCTGGTCCAAGACAATACACTTTATATGTACACAACACACTTCAAAATTAAATTATTTAAAGAGATGAGGGGAATGTGAAGTTGTATGATTTGGGCATTACACTGAGAAACTCTCTATATCCTGATCTGTGCCAGAGTGCTCCAATACACAAGCAAAACATAAGATCCTACTCTCTATATATATATTTTACAAAAGGTGATTAACAGTCTTAACATAGAAACAGGAAACACTTCACATTATTGAATGTCAGGTATTTGTCAATCACAAGACCTATAACTCCTCAGTGAAAGAGCAAGATGTTCAATTAAAAAAAAAAGGCAAGCATTAGAAAACTAGCAAGCAAACGACTTCATGAAGAAATTGTATTCAACATAAGGCCACATACACCTTGCTTCTCAGGAGAGTCTGAGGAAGCAAGATTTTAAGTGTTTTACTGTGTTAAAAAGTAGGCTTGTTGCGTTTGGTTTTTTTTAAATCACACACATAGAACATATAAAACACCAAGCGTTGACCAGAGAAAGGAGACATCCTCCAGACAAAGACTACCTGGCAGATGGAAGCTAAGAATAAACAATTAACCAGGACAGAAGCAATTCAGCCCCATCGACCAGCCGGGGGTCGCGGGTCAGGGACAGCATGGAAAAGGGAGGAATGCGAACAACACCGAGCACAGCCACCGGGAGAAAGGAGACCGCCTCAGCCACACATTCCCTCCCACCCTGGGGTCAGAAATGGGGCCCAGGAGGAGCCCGGCGCCCTCTCCCCGCGGGGCCCACTCGCCCCCTCAGGCCTCGGGCCCCGCCGACTCACCTCATCCGCGCTCAGCTCCTCCATCGCCTTCCTCTTAATGGTGAACGGAGGGAGGGCGCTTTCCTCTGCCCCGCGGAGGGGCAGCTCCGAGGAAGCGCTCTCCTGTCGCCTCTGCCCCCCGGGGCGCCTCACAAGGGCATCTCCGG